AGAAGAGAAGAGAAGAGAAGAGAAGAGAAGAGTTTACGCCGAACATGCAGCGCCAGATCAAATTGAATCAGTTAATAGGCGTCGATTTATGTGAAAGGAGCGAAACCGGAAAATGAATTCATCACACCGTTCATTGTCATTTTTACACCAACTCAGTCCATACTTCTGTTATACTGCGACAAATCTTTTTTTTTTTTCGGTTCAACACGTATAGCACAGTTAATAGCATCATTAAATAATGACTGTCATTATTATTTGCTTTCTGCTTTTGAAAACAAGTTGTAATTTGCCGTTCTCTTAGTCGCTTCGAGGTACTCTCATTCCTTTCCATGTTTTTTTCCAAATGTTTTTAATGTTTTGAAATGACGAAATGATGCTTTAATACTAGGTCAAATCCAATTATCGGGCAATACTTCGTTGATTGTTTAACACCAGGCCATCAAGTGTGCCTATACTAATTTTTGTCTATTCACAAAGTCGGCCGAACGCCAGTCAAACAGTTTTTATTAAAAATTAATTAATTTGGTCGGATCTTAAAGATATTACAAGACATAGTTGCAGAAAGATTAAAGTTTGAGTGTTGGGTGTGTCACGGCAATCGGCGTTAATTTTCGTTAGGCTCTATTTCAAAAACTTATCGGTTTGGAGATCTGAAACTAAAATTGTGTCTCAAGCGACTGACATTAGGGTAACATATTTACATGTTTCTTATATATTATTTATTGATTTCTTTCAACGCGAAAAATCGAGAGTCAAAAAATGTTTATGATTTACGCAAAATAGAACATAAAGGATTTGTTGATAATTTCATATTTCGTTTATCCAATGTCGCATCGTAATTTATCACGTTGGTATCCGCACTACATTCGGTTTGCCGACCCATAATAGTTTCCGTGCGTGTCATTTAGCTGTCAGAGTTTTGGACCTAATCCAATCACATTGCAGTTTCCAGATCACGTGTATCAAAATAACAAGTAAGTTATTGAAGAGTTATCCAAAAGCTTGTGACTATTAATATTAAAACTGGTGAGTTTATCTATATRTAACTAACAGTTGATGCATATACACCTATTTCAGAAATCATTGTCACACCAAAAGCCTCAAGCAACAAGCCAAGACCGCAGAGAACGCCGATACTTTTGGCTGTAATTAGTTTATTCATAGTGTATTTTCATTTATTAACTTCATAAATTGCTCCAAGCAAGGCTGCTTGAAATGATAATTAGTGGAGAGCTATAGCCACTTGCATGAACCATGAATAAATCAATTATAATTAAAAGTACCGACGTTCTCTGGAGCCTTGGCTTGTCACATGAGGCTCTTGGTGAGACAATGATTTTCGAAATAGGTGTATATTTTCTGAAGCAAGCTTCCGATAAGTCGTAGCTTCGTGCGCATCTGAGGACATGTTTTTGGTATCAGATATTATTTAAACTGGGCCCTAAAAACCAGTGCGTACTTTACGACTTTAAAGATAGATGTCTGAAATCATCAGTTTTCATTTATTAATACTCTGATTCAAATTAATTAATTTCTTGGATTCGGTAATATTTTTGAAGCACCAAAAGATGTAAATTTTGAGGAGATTGATGACGGCGCACTGGTCAAAGACAAGCCTTGTATCTTTTCGCTCGAATTGAGACATTCTTATTTCTTTGCAAGCTAGGGTATAAGAGCTAAAAACATTTACTATTAAATGTCAAAGAGCACAATGAAGGTTTAAAAAGTATCCTACATTAAACATAGCGCGTACAGTAATGCTCGTGTGCCAAAATATTTTGCACTTTGTACTCTGCTCTGTGCTATACTCAATCATTGTTTATATCTATTGTCGGATCTCTCATTCGTTCTGCGAAACGTTATGTGTATGTACGTTGCCCTGTTTTCCCCAAAAAACTACGATGTTTCAAATCAAGAACCACTAAAATCTTCAAAAAACTTAATAACGATGTGCTTCGTTCAAAAAATTTTATAACAAATGTTTCCATCGAAATTTTCGTAAGACTTTGCAGCGTGGAAGCGTACCGTGAGAATTTCTGAACGCAATAATTGTTGGTGAAATATTGTCTCCGCCCCTTAGCAACATTTGACATTCCCCCTAACAACGGCATGTGTTATAAAGAGGAAATACTACCTTTCAAAAACCATCAAGACCTAAATTCTTTTCAGCAATGCCACACAACATTGAGATAACGGGCCGAAACATCATCGCTTTCAAAGCGATATATAGGCTTGTTTGATCTCATCGGAATAACGTACAATTTAATTTCGTTTCATTTTACTGCCTCGTTTGTCGTTGCTATAGAAAGATCAATTCCACTGGAATGTACATAGTCATAAACTTCTATCCAAGACTGTAATGTCTAGTGTAAATTGTAAATCAACCCAACTTAAAAAAGTTCGTTAAAAAAGCCAATCAAAACGTCAATATGAATAGTATTTTTCTCTTCTCTTCTCTTCTTAATGAGCCTTGGCTTAATTGGCGTAGAGTGACATTCTTTCTTAACTACATTTTTTCCCTAGACAAAGCCCTCGTAGGTCACGTGATAGCCACTCATTCAGTTAGATCTTCGATTGAATGTGCAATGGCATGTACCTCAAAACCGGGCTGTTTGTCGTGCAACATAGACGTTTCCCAAAAAGTCTGCGAACTCAACAACGAGACCAAACAAACCAAGCCTGGGGACCTGAAGAGCAGTCCTGGTAGCAACTACTACGATTCAGAGGTTTGTATCAAGGTGATGTTACACGCGACGATTTTTCGCCGGCGATTTTTAAATGGCAATTTCGATCCCAGCCACCAAGCCGCGCAGTGTGACAAATCAAAACAAAATTGAAACACTTCCTCGACCTCTTTTAAAGCTTGTTTTTTTACATCTTTTGTTTGCTTGTCATGTGGAGACCACAAACAGGCTTTGCTTTGATGAACGATATTAACTTCAGACGTGCTGCATCATCTAAGCGGCTCTGGTCAACTAATAATTCATCAACATCTCTCAAATTTTCGTCTTCTTCAGTTACCGCAGTAATCTTGTTTGTTGACATCAGACCTGTCCTTGAACTGCATTCTGGGTAGGTGTTGCGCGAAAAATTGTCGACGAAGCTGTTACACGCATCAACTTGCTGCAAATTTGTCATTTCGTGTTGCGAGTTTTTGAAGGAAAATCAAAACCTCGCAACGTGTTGCCGTATCCGAAAATCTACGTGCGTTAAACGCATCAATTTTTTGCGCAACGGCGTATCGCGAAAAATCGTCGCGCGTAACATTACCTTCAAACATTTTCTCGTCGATCAAAGCCACCGTTATCAAGCATTATCTTAGCATGAGCTAATCATTCTTTGTCCGTCTGTATATTTACTTTATCTAACAGTCCATTCCCGTTTGTCACAATGGAGGAACTCCCATAGACATCTGCAGGAGTAATCATGGTGTGATGTGCACGTGTACACCGAGATGGACTGGTGATGATTGCAATATTCGTAAGTACAAGGATTTTGGCCTTGCACATATCATTTACCGCACCTTAATAATGATCAACTCAGAACACAAGTTGATCAAAAATGCATAAAAGACTAAGCAATTTACTGATCCAGTAATAATACAAGTAAATTTAATGAGGAATCCAGGGCTGAATATTATTAAGCTCAACGATGAACTTCAAGGGTCTCATCAGTTACTGGAGGATTACATATCCGAGCATATCTGATGCGGATTACTAACAATGCAGGTAGACCAAGTATAGCTCTTACGGCTATACATGGGATACCTGTTGTGGCAATATCACTAGAATACAGGTTACTAACACTACAGGTAGACCAAGTGTGGCTCTTACGGCTATACATGGGATACCTGTTGTGGCAATATCACTGGAATACTGGTTTCTAACACCACAAGTACACCAAGCTCTTATGGTTGTACATGAGAAACCTGTTCCAGCGTCAAAGGTAACTTGAGCCGGTATCAGGCCCTTCCCTAGTCGCTCTTCTCTCCCTTGCCCAGATCACCAAGGGCCTGATACTCAGTTTATGTTATGCAATGTGCAAAACTAAGGACTTTGGAAAACGGTTATTACGTTGATATTACGTTTAGAATAAAAACAATTTGTGTTCTCTACAAAGGAAAATCAATGTACCCCTACCTTCTATATATTTGGGTTGTCCAGCACCAAAATGCAGTAAAATATTGTTTGAAAAGACAAAGGGCTTGCAGTAGCAAGTGTTGCTATCGGTCTTCATGATCTGTGTTTTATCTTGTTCCAGCACGCGTGGGATCGGTGGACTATATGCCAGGACAATCATGTCGTAGCATCAATACTGCTGGTGATGCTGTAGGTGATGATAATTACTGGATCAAGCCGCCCAACACCAATGACACATTCAAAGTTTTCTGTCACATGTCGCTGCTGGGAGGTATCTGAAAATAGTAATCATGAAAGCAATGTATGAGAATTCTGCTACCGGTTTGGGAGGTTCGGTGGGTCGGTATATAAGGTTCGCAGTAGTATAGTACTACGATTATAGATCACAGCGCACACCAAAAACTTGTGTTTCTTCGTTGATATAGGATCATTCAGAATCTGGAATTTATAGCAAACTTGCAACATGCGCCTCTTCAAACTTTCAATGTTCAATAGAAGGTGTCTGGAATTTTAGTTAAGAACTAGATGACGCGACGATTATTAATGTTTTTTATTCACTTCCTTTTGACTAGTATGGCAAAGAGTTACCATGTCATGGTATCACAGCATGGCAACTGCTGGTGTATCAATTACCAAGACTGAGGTCAGCGGTGGTCTACAAATTTCTGGCAGTGTTACGAATTATGGGTGTGGAGGCGGCACAGGGTCTGGGTCGATTATCTACATCAAGGGTTACTGGACAAAAATCAAATATACTCAAGAGTTTAAAGGAATATCGTCCTGTTGGCGCATCTTTGGAAATGTACAGTAAGTTTAAATTTGTAATTTTGTCCGTCGTCTTTTCTTGCTTTGTTCTTATATTTCTGCAGTTCAAGGCTCGAAATCAGGACCCGCTGATAATTTCAGAAGAAATAAAATAAATGATAATCAGAAAAAAGCATTTATATTCATACTGAATATTTCAGTAAAAGAAACGATGACTAGATAGAGTTATTGAGTATTAAAATGAATTCATTCTTTGGATTATCTTTCATTTTGGGAAGCACGGGTGGCGTAGCGGTGTGAGCGCTCGCCTCTCATCAATGCGACCCGAGTTCGAGTCCCGCCGGGATTCGGTGTTGTATATGAGTAGAGTTGTTTGTTGGTTCTCTCCTGCGCTTCGAGGGTTTTCCGGGTTCTCCGGTTTTCCTCCCTCCGCAAAAATCAACTCCTAAATTCCAATTCGATCATGAAATGAGGACCACAGGTTTGTTAGCCACTGGCTATTAAGTGCTACCCTCGTGAAAAAAGGACGTTTTTTTTTATCGCATATTTTTGAAATGTAAAAGAGCTTTTGTTTGTAGGGCATAGCAACGGTAACTAACAAAGGAGTACTGAAAATATGCAAATACGTCAAAATGAACCGATATAAATAAAAGAATCAACTTGAATCCGGAATCTGCAATCCCGGACAAAGTTGATGGGACTCTTCCGCTCTTTCTTACATGTTTTGGGTTGAAACGATACTCCCTACACCTTTAGGCCAAAACCTCCCCTCCCATTTTCAGACAAAGTTGTAACTGTTGTTGTTGATGAAGAAGAAGATGGTTTCGATGGTGATGCTGATGATGATACATGATGCTGATGATAAGTTCTTCCATGATGCCGAGTATTTTCACTGGCCAAGTGAAATCATTCTAATATTAGATTACAATACCACTGTCTACAGGTTCAATAACCAGGGCGGAGCTATTGGACAAACCAATCATGGGTTATGCCAGTTTGATAAAACAAAAGACACCATTACTAACGAGCTCTATATGGGTGGACCGAAAAGTAAGTCATATATAACAAACATTTTATTGTTTTGATAAAACAAACGGGGTCTGTTGAAATTTATAACCTGAGAAAGACGTGAGGAAAATAGGTTTCAACTGCAGGACTTAGATCTGTATCATCTATGCTCTGTACGCTTGTTCTGCCCACTGTTTCTTTTCTTACCGTTTTACGTCTTWTGGTCTCAGCTTCTATGTTCTATGTTTCTGAACCCGACAACGATTCTATACTGATTATACTGATATAAAGTATAAACCCCCTCCCTCTCAGGTCCCTGATTATTAGTTCTCTATTAGCAACGATTGAATTATTTTGCAGGTCATTTGTTTCCCGGCACGACAATAAGATGCGATCATTTAAGCGACAACTTGTGGCAAAATTCCGTGTCAGGTGGTGTGCGTCGCGCAACTGTCACTCTTCGACGCAACGCAAGTGTTACCCTAGCAGGAATATATACTTCCACGTCTTGTGGAAGACCACAGTATGTCATAAAAGACATTTATATTTATTTCTAAGATCAATACGTAGTATCAAGGACATTACCTAGGTGCTTTTATTATCGATGTAACGAAGGTACGTTTTATTTGGGGGCCGGGGGTCTGGAGGATGCGCAGTAAACTTTAAACTTTTTAAAAATTGTTGTAGCTCTCCCTATTTCACCTAGTACAAAACTCCTGACCCTTCTATTAAGTCAAAAGAGAAACAGCTTTCGTCTAAATAAAAAGCTTTGGCCCTCCACAAAAGTTTAAATTATTATTCATGACCCTCTCCTCTGGAGCCGCAGTCCTCCCCCAATAAAAAACGTACCTTTCCTAATAAATGACAAGTATAGGTTGGTTTTGGTAAAATGAACTTCATAAGACCAAAGCAAGAGAATATGAAGTAAGAGAGCACATCCCTGTGTCCCATGAAAGTTTTTTWAAAATCTATTTTTGGCTTCGCGCGCAAGCGTGAGCTATTTTTACATGCGATTCCTGATTGGTCAGATTGTACTTCATATTCCCTTGCCCAAAGCAAACATCAAAAAGCGACAAAGGGAAAACAAAGGAAAAAACACACTTCAAATTGTATTATATCATATTAACAGCGAATATATTAACAACTAATAGTTTCCTTTAGATTGGAATATGGACATGACCTTTGAGTTAGAAATGTGTGATTTTTTTCGTATTTATCCAGAAAACCTAAAAGCACATTCTGTTTTGTCTCAGATCGCCCATTTCAGATCTCGGACAGACAACGCCTTTTTTAAATAGGTGTATAAAGTCACTTCACGGACACCCGATTGCATATAAAATTTGTAAGACTGCGGGCTACTCTCTCTGCTTTCTTCATTAATTTGCCGTATTCCTGAGGTTTATTATATATTAACACAAGCCGGCACAACATTTCACCAAACCAAAGCAAACGCATTGTTTGACCATCTCCCGTACAAAATTGAAAAAAAAAAAAAATTGCCTTTGAAGTTGAATTTGAAAATAAAAAAGGTAGAAAAGGCTTACAGTTATCGCGAGTGCTTAGACTGGGCGCATTGTTGGGAGTTTATTGATAAAAAATCGCACGAAATAAAGAGTTGATTACTTGGCATCTCGCTGAATAGACTGTCACATTGCCAAGTTTGCAAACGTCAGTGCGACCACAAACACATGATATCATCTAGAAATAAAATCAGAAAAAATGCCATTTCCGGTGTAAAGACTGGATCTTTGGAAAATCAAATTTTTGTTTTCGGGCTTAATGCAAAATTGTTCTAAGAAGTATTTCCTGGTATTTTTTTCAGTTTTACTACAATAGGGGAAGGTTGTCAATTGGGACGCAATCTTGTATCCTCCTCCTGTCACGTTTTTATCATATTAACCTACTTTTTTTTTCACTTTTTCACTATTTTATCCTTTTTGTCTCTATATAACTATATTTAGCTCACTTAATTCATTAGATCACATATTGTACCTCAGGTTGTAAATAGTGACGAATAAACAAAACCAAACTAAAACTAAGTGCGACCCGGGCCTAAGCAGCAATGTTGAAAATAGGCATAGAATTCTGAGTTGCGTCAGATATTGCCAGAGTAACGAAATAAAGATATAGCACCATCAATCACAATCCTCCTCGAATGGATTTTAGTATTAAATTATCATTTAAAAAAGCGTAAAGATATAATAGGATACCCTGGGTACCTGAATGGGAGTGTGGTATAGGCCGTTCCTGCCGTCAGATACCCTTGGTAGGAACACGACTTACCGATGTAATTGTATAGTCTTACAAAATAAACTTAGAGGGGCTCAGAGATGGGGAAGCGATTAGTGGATGTCTTAAAACTTAATACTTAAAGTTTAAAAACCTAATTTGTCAAAATTTTAAAATTTCGAAACCGGAATAGCTTTCGCTATCTATCGCTGTCAACTAATTTATTCGCATTATAGTACGGAAGTAGATATAAGAGTTAACAAGCTATCGAGAATATCTCCAAAGATAGCCTGAAATTAGAATTATAAGTTGATTTTTGCGGAGGGAAAGAAAGCAGGAGAACCCGGAGAAAAACCCTTGAAGCACAGGAGAGAACCAACAAACAACTTTACTCAAATACGATACCAAGTCCACCAGAACTTAGTCTCCCTCGGATGCGAGGGAGACTAACCAGAACTCGAACCCGGGTCGCATTGATGAGAGGCGACGCATTAGATAGTACGACACCCGTGCCGTCATAAACATCAAAATAGGTCAGCGGATTAAATTTTTTWAAATCATATGATATGCACGTGGTCCTAAAAAAAGCATCATTAATTCCGAACCCTCAATTGGTGTCAATACTTTCACGATCCTATAGTAGTCAAGAGGAACTGCCTAATACGCAGGACTTAAATCTACCTGCATTAAACGCAATGGCGTTATTTGAAATCTATTTCTTTGTTGTTGTTTGTTGTTGCTTGGGAAGCCGAGTCCAACCAGAATCTTTGAATGGGACAGTATATATTAATCCTCATGATGGGTAAGTTATTTTATTACTAAACTGAATTATTACTACTGTGAATCGCATTTACTTTTATGGATATTGACAACGATCGATACTGAAGTCAAATCCGGAAAACAAATGTAAGTCTTGCGTAAGTATAAGTTTACTCGAAAATCATTATGAAATCTGCCTTTTAGCACACAAAATGAAAAGACAACTGATGAATCTATACTCATGTTAAAGAAGATGGTTTTACGAAATGTATTGTGAGCAAAAAATCAAAACTACTGAAAGCAAACTGATTACAATTTTTCTAATCCCCATTCATAAGAGACAGAATTTTGTCTGTTTTACTTCCATATCGTGATTACACGGGTTCTTAAAATCCACTAATTTAGGATATCCTCCACGTACTCTTCCGCGTATGGATTAAACACTACTAAACGAAGGAGTTGTCAGAGAAGACGCGAGTTGAGAGTTGTGTGTATGTAATATAAACCGTGTATAGATAAAAAAATATTTATTAATTTTATTTAATAAGAAAATTAGTTGTAAAAGACAACGTTACAATGTTGTCTTTAACAACTAGTTTTCTTATTACATGAATTGTATTCCTAAAAGTACCTTTATCAAATCCAATAAGTGTTTGTAAGCCGAGTTAAGATTCATGATAGTTTTGATTCATCATCTTTTTAATTATAAATCAAGCCAAGCTTTCGAGCATCTTGCTCTTCATCAGGGCAAACGGTTGTGACAGTTTTACAAGAAACACGCAACATAACA